TTGCACATGCTTTAGTCACTGTTATAGGCAGCTTGTCTGTTGTTCATGGACTTGGCAATCAAAATTGCCTTTTTCTCCTGCATCTTCTAAACAATTGTTCCAAAAGGCAGATTTTTATGATGTCTGAAAAGGTAGTCTCAGCATCACAGCTCAATGAAACTTTCACCATGTAAATATGGGGAACGCCAGTCTCCCATTATTACTGCATGTCTTGTTCATGCAGATTACAAATAGATGAATGAACGATTTTGTGTGGTTAATACATGGATTCAGCAAATTAGGTAGTTTTAGTTTAATTCATACCTCCACCAGTCACCCTTTTGCAGTAATACTTGATTAATCCTATAAAAGTCTTTGCAATTTAGACTAGTGGGGACACTGATGTGACTGTGCAGCATTTGATTAGATATAATGTACATGTGTTGTTACATATTTTTTTTTTCCCAATGAAATTGTTCAGTAAAACAGCAATGGATGAAAAAATATTTTATCCATTAAATTCTCCAAATACAGCCTGGTATTGCAAGTGACTACCTGAATTTTGTATTTGTTTACAACAGATTAATCAGAGTGGGTTGGAAGCCTTTTTGTGTTGGTGAAATTTGGTATTAAAATTTTGAATTTGAATTAAAAATAATACTTTCAATCAACTTTCTTTCATGTTGAGTAATAGATAGAAATGACTCTGTATTCATATATTACAGTATCTTAAGTTTTCCTCTACGTCTTACGTTCATGTGTGTTGTGAACTGGCTAGATGAGGTTCAGTAATAGAACATACAAAAGCTTTCAGCAGGGCCTGGTTACTCAGCTTATGTGTATCAATTTAGTAGCATCAGTTCCACACTGCTATGCTAATTTACACCAGGTGAGGTTCTGGGCACCAATCCTTTTATTGTCTCTTGACTTTTCTAGCATGTAGGTTAAGCAACATTTGATAACCATATGCTTAGTGTATTGTGCCAGTAGAATAGGACTTAGAAGGTGGAGTGTGGGAAGAGTGGGAATAATTGCAGGCGTGTATTGTTAGATTTTATTGACTTCAGAATGTGGCATAAATACAATGTCAGCTTCTCTATAAGACAGGGCCCCCATGTGGAGTCAAGACATACAGTGAGATCCTGTAAAATAGTAAAGAAATCTTAAAATTATGTGGATTTAATTGATTGTATTTTCTTCTAAGGTTGTGTCTTAAAAATGTAGCAATCCCAAAGTAAACACTTAAAGATCCAAAGCCAGTATGTAAATGCACATCTAATGTGTCAGACATCTGAGGCACGTTTGAGTCTTTATAGTTTGCTCCAGCATCCATGAACAGACAGAAAGCTTTTCACCATTTATGCAAGAGACAAAAGAGCTTCTTTTAGGAACTCACCTCTTTTGTGCTACTGCGATTGAAGAGAGCTGTAAAACAGTTACTGCTGATTATCTGATTATGCCAGAACTACCTAGGTGAGTGAGTATTTGGAGACTTTCAGCTTCCTTTGGATATTTTGGTGATTAGTGTGCATCTTCTTAGGAAATCTGGTAGGGAATGAGTGTGAATGATGGTCATCAGGCCAGAAAGCAACTAGAGAAATGAAAGTGGATGGAGAGCTGAGAGCATTCTAGTGGAAAAAACTGTATAAACAGTGTTGGGCATCTGATTGTGTCAGTCTAGTTTCATGTAGTTGTTTCATCTGTGGCATGTAAAAAAGCCGTTCCTTCTTAAGTTTAAAAAAACTTACTTGTTTTTAGAACTGAATGACATCTTCTGAATTAAATGGGGGAGAAGTTATAGTAAATTGGAAAATACTTCTGTCTGCAAACTTCTTTCTGGAAGTTTCGAAGTTGTAGAGCCCACTTGCAAAGCTTTAGGCTTTAGCAAACTCCATTGTGGTGTGAAGTTTAAATGAGGAAATACAGTAACATACCACAGAGTGTCCCTTGGGTTGTGGAAAATCAGTTCTGTGCTGCTTCTGGTTTATTTATTTATTATTTGTAAGCCAGTTAGTGTTATTTTTCTGTGTTTGGATTAGAGACAAGTCATCTATCAAATCTTCTTTTCTCTGTAGGTATGAACAAAATAGCTGTTACTTATGTGAATATAAACAGTTGTGCTTTCATGCCATTATCAAAACTTCCCATTTCAAAAGCCACTGCTTAACTATCACTTTAATTTCAGCATCCATCTAGGGCCTATGAATGCAGATACTGTGAACTGTTCCTTAGGTGTGGAAAATGATGACAACACATTGCTGATTTTGTTAAATTTTGCTAACACACTTAGAAATAGGAAAAAATAAATTTTAATCAACATCAGGTATCCAAATAAATAATTTATCTGCAAAATTTTTTTCACTAAATCAGTTGATGCTGTTTTACTGCTAAAATAGAAATTCTATCTTGGCATCTGCAGTCACTGAAATATAGCTTAAAGTCATTGTTTTTCTTGGCTAGAGGCTACCTTGGTAAGTAAGCAATATCATATTTGCCCACAAATGCACAAGACTCAGTGCTAGTCTGCTTACTGCCATCATTTCCTTACGTGTTTCTAGTTATTTACTGCTTTTAAACCGAAGTACTCTCCTTACAATGTAATGGCCTTTTCCTAACAATTTCTTCATATGGTATAGCCTTAATTCAAGAGGCTATGTAAATAAGATTGCGGACAGCCTTCCGTGAGCTCAAGGGGCTGATGGCAGTAGTCTTCCAGCAGAGGGGGTGTGGTGGACATCCTCTGGGTTGTGGGTCTGAAACATCTCAAATTACTCAGCCATATTTGTCAGCTTAACACCAGCAGGCTACTCTATCAGCTAGCTGCGCTGACACCTTGCTTTGTTATGCTTCTGTGCAGCTTTTACTTCCTTCCCTATTTAGCAGTCAAGGAAGCTGTTGCTGAAATAAGCAAGAGAGCTTTCTTATCCTGCTTCTCCAGTACTGTGATCGTTGCCATTAATTCAATATATTAATGGGGGTAAATTCAATTTGGTGTCACTTCAGCTGCTGGAGACATTGCAATACCTCCCTTATAAAGATTAGTATTTAGGTTCTGATCACATATGACCATGCTAACACATCAGATACTAATATGGCACTGATACAGCAATACTAAAAAGTAGGTATGCTGATATTAAAATACTGGTTGTTGAAGTCCCATTTGTTTCAGCTTGTACGTTTTCTGAAATTTTTTTGAGGGGAAGTGAATGTCAAGTACCACGCTTATTTTTCAAGCGTTTGCGGGTAGTTACTGATACAATTCTGCTTTGTTGGAAATAGATTTTAAAAGGTTTCACCTGTATCTTAGCTGGGGAAGCAGAAGTTCCCATCTCAAAATCACCATTATTTTCTGATATTTGTTACTAAACATTCTGCTTGAAATTCCTTTCTGAAAAATAAGAAAACCTTCCTGCCACACTGTCATGGTTGAATTCTGATTTGTGTCAGTTGATACAACTACAATCGGTTTCTTCTGTTAGAATATATTACTAGTTAAAACTGTTGTATACACACTATAAGAGCTGCATAGAGATGTTGCAGGTTGTTTGGGCTTTGGAAGCCTTTTTTTTGGTTTTTTTTTTTCTTTCTGTTTTTTATTCGCCCTGCACATGGAGCCTTACCCAGTGGGGCTCCAGTTGCCTGTCTAGGGCGTCTGCTGCCTACCACAATACGAGTAACTGTTCCTGTTGTGCATATTTGTGGTACAGTCTGTGATAAAGGAAAATTAAGAATATTTGGCAATAATTACAAGGAACAAGAATGTCCAAACTAAGTCAGCACTAAATATTTCTGTTGGCATGTTGACAATAGCAAGTACTGATAGATATAATTTTGGATGTAAAAACTAAATGTCTATTTTGACAAGTTAAACAGGAGTAGACTTTTGGATCAAATACTATCAAAGACTAAAATTTTGATGAAAACAGTAATCTGTGGACCAAAATAACTTGCAGACTGCTGTCTTCTCTCAAGAGGCATCAAAATTATGTTTTGATATTGTACTTGCTATTTTGAAAAGTGATTGGAGTGTACAACTAAATGAAAATCTTTTCTTTCTCAGTCTTTCTGTGGCTCTGTGTTTCTGCCTTGACAGTTGGTGTAATTAGTGTCAGTGGCGATTGGTCTTTCCAAGAAACTGCATCTTCCTCAGTTATTTTGTCAAGGCTTATAATCACCTTAAAATTTTCAGTTCTATATTACATCATATTCTTATGCCTCCTTGCTGCACAGTTGCTGCAGAAGTAAAAATTGAATTAATTTAATTAAAAGGTTTCCTTCTTTATCACTATTATTAGATATTATAGGTAAGCAGCTGGAGTCTGCTGGAACGTGCTGGATTTTGAACTAAGGTGACTGTAGAAAACCATCATGTCTCATGTATAATACTTATTACTATCCCAATCACTTTAGTCTGCTAGTCTCCTATGTTTAATTCCAGAAAAACTATCTGGTTTTGGAAGAATTTTTATTTTTCTAGTGTTCTCAAGGTCATTAAGAAACCCTCTGCTATAGCACACTTTTGGCTGGAATGTTTAGGATTTGTACATTTTCAACAGTTCATTTGTGTAGCTAGAGTAGCCTGCTGACAAATTCTGCATCTTAAGTGTTTACCAATAGGAGTATGATGAAACATACAGCTTTAACATTAAAATACAAATGTAACCTAAAATTTCTTAGTTACTTTTGCTGTTTTGGCTAAGTTTTTGAACACTTGTTTCGTGTGCTTTGCTCTTTGCCTTGAGTCCATATAATTCTTCCCCAGACCTCCCATGCTGTTAAACGTATGGGTAGAATGGTGGCTTCCAAGCAGGTCACTCACCCCTAAAGAAAACACTTTCAGGTCACATCATATAACCTGTATTATAAGAACAGCTGTGGGTAAGATTCTAAAAATGAGTATCCTGATCTTTTTACATGGGGTTTTTTTATGGTTTGGTTTGGTTTGGTTTTTTTTTTAGATGAGAGACAGAGAGTTGTCATTATAATATTAATACATTGGTCTCTTTTTTTTTTCTTACTAGATAAAAAAATATTTTGAACTTGAGCCACTTGCACGTGGAAAGCGCTGGATTCTTAAACCCTGCTCCTTGGATGATATGGAGGCAGTAAAAGACAGTTTCTCCCTGCTAATAAACTTGCTAGAAGAGAGAGACTTCGAACCTTCAAGAATGTGAAACGCAAGAGAGAAGAGTGGTTCTCCAGGCATCACTGTACCTGCACATTCTGCTCACAGCTTAATTATGGTGTGGTATCAAGACTGTACTTTGATATGTTGTTTATACAGTTAGTGCAGAATGTCCTTTTGTTAAAATAAATATTCTGTGAATCAGGTACACAACTATTTCCAGTAAAGTTGTCTACACTACTGAAATAGGGAGTTGCTCTTTGTTTACCACTATTTCTGCACACTGCATGTTGCTTTCTTGTGTTGCGATCATCCTTGATAGGAAACTTTACATGCACAAAAATAACATAATCTGCAAAGGAGGAATTCTATCTGCTACCTTGGTTTTTAAAAAATAACTAAAGTCTTAAGGATTTGTGAGACTAACTTGTATTAGCTTGTTTACTGACCCCACGATATGGAAAGCACAGCCACTGAGAACCTTAATAGGATACCTTAAAGGCAGGCAGTTTCATGTTAATGCAAAGGTTAGTCCTGAAGTTTTTCTGAGTGAAAATACAGTTAAGTTAGTTGATTCTTCTTCTGAAGTCATAGCATAACCTTGTCAAAGGCAGAACTGTTATTTTGCTGGAAGTTTCCTGAAAGGCAAATTAGCAAACAGATGTGTGTGCATAACAGTATTTGGGAAAAATAGGTGACATAAACAGGTGGTCTAAGTAACAAAATTTTTAGAAAACATTCAAAGTTGGATAAAGTAACAATTTTCATTGAAAGTAGTTTTCCGTAAGAGAAGCAAAGCAAATGTCTGTTAATTCAGCTGTAGTTAGAAGTGTGACTGATTTTAAATAAGGATTGCTTCCTTTATCACTCAGTCATAGAGTACTACTGTTATCGTAACATTGCCAAGGCATCTATACCATAATTAAGGGCCTTCCAGTGTTTGTACTATAAGCTTCTCTTTTAAAGGGTTTATAACTTGTTCTTTCAAACTTCCTCTGGGCTGGATGTTACTTAGAAGACAAAAAAGTATTCATTGGGAACAACATTTGTAATACATTTGGAAAAATCCCATTTGGTTCCAGTAACACAGTGTATATTTCCTCTTTCCAAGTTTTCCCAGTTGTAGGTTTGCAGTCTTTTGGCTGCCTTTTGCTGATTTTTTTAAAACCTTATAAACTGATTTTGTCAATTAAAGAAACATGCTGGGTCACTTTTTCACCATTAAGTCAGTCACAACAGGGTATGTGCAGATCAGCCACTGAACTGGTGCACACCTTGAATGTTGTGACTTGTGCATTCAGCTACTCTTGTGCATAAGTGTCTGCAAACACAAACTGTAGTGATGTGTCAGTGGTTCCTCATCGATTCTGCTTGTGTTTTGAAACAGTAACTCCTTTTTTCAAGGCAACATAGCTTTCCACTCCAAGCATTTATTTTTTAAGTTTGAAGGTTATTGTAGTTTCTCACTAGTTTATTTGGGAATAAGAAAACAGCAAGGGTCAGCTTTTAAAGGCATATAAAAGCTATTTCTCTATTACTTGCAATTATACTCTTTGTTAAACAAAATGGTTTTTATAGTTTTTTGTTTACTTTTCATTTTCCATGGATACCTTGCATTGCTCCCTCAGAATTATATCTGTCCAAATGCATGGCCTAATGATCACTGGTTTAACTTCCCTTGTATTATCAGAAAGCGGCTAGGAAAACTGGTAAGCTCCTTGCTTAATTTTGCAATAGAATAGGCAGAAAGCCTGAAGGGCACCTCTTCTTGCTTTTTCTTCTCTTTCCTGTCAGGTCAATTGCCGCACTCCTAATACTCTTGGAAATAGCCAAGAACTGGAATTGTTTATTTCAAAACACAGAGAGGAACCTTGGTTTGGTTCTCTCTGCACAGTTTAGATGGGACCCAACTGCCCATCAGTTTCTCTTGTATGGGTTGAGGAGGCTCCTTTCCCTGGATTTAAAGAGGAACCGAATCTAATTTACAGTTCCAAACTCTCTCTTAGTTGACGTGAGCTTAGAGACTACAGAGTCCCCAGATTTCCGCATGGTCCCCAGATTTCTGTCCTGTTTAGGGACAATGACAAATTAGAAGTGGTGGGGAGGAGTGAGAGGATTATTTCCCACAGAAGGCAGGCAGTTTGGGGAGGCAAAAAGACGGATTCAGAGCTTTTACTGCTTTGTCATTGAACATTAGTTAGAAGATGAGAGGTAAATTTTTTTTACTGTTTTTCCCCTTCTTTCCCATATTAAAGTTATGGACCAAAAGGTACAGCAAATGAAAATAAGCCCAACTGTATTTCATTCTTAAAAACTTATTTGTACCATCAGTGAGTCTGGTCCAAAAACTTCAGAGTTTCCAAGTTACATTTTGGTCGTGATTTCCCAACTATGCACTGTTGGAAGGTGCTACATGATTAACATGCAAAAGACCCAAGTAGCTGATGAGAACATGGCTTTGGCATATGCCAGTGGCCACTTAGACTAGGACCTTTTGATGCTTAATGCTTTATCTTTAGGAAAATGCCAACTGCACAGGAGCAGTGATTTTTTTTTTTTTTTTCAGAACTATTTTGAATATGCTTTTTCTTACTAATACAGTGATCATTCCTCACCACAGGTTGAAACAATACCTCATAACTGCTTAGGCTAAGACCAATGCTTAACTTTTCTTTGAATGTAGTTCTTCTGTGGTTTTGTGTTGTGGATGGACTTAATGGATGTGTACCCTTTTAATGTCTGTGAACACCTTCACCTTTTTATGGAGGAATTAAAAATGTTCATAGCAGCTCACGTCACACTTCCTTCTCTAAAGTGTTGTTGAATGCTCTGGCTATGGTAGAATATGTAAGCACCATGCATTTTTTATTCAGATGACCATCTCAACTGTTTCTTTTTTCTTCCTTTTTTTTTTTTTTTAAATCTTCTCACATGTGTTCATCATTTAGGTGAAATAAACTTGGGCACTAGGCTCTACTTTCCATGCAAGTTCATTAAGGAGTGAACATTGTCTTTTTAAAAAAGATACTGTGCTTTAATGTTCTTCAGCCATCTGTTAAATTACTTTGTGTGTGTGTGTGTGTGTATGTGTATGTGCCCACATTGGGCTTCTTCTCAGACCTGTGGCTGTCTGCAATGTCTCAGCCGTCAGAATGAAAACATTATCAATCAGTATCCAACAACAGCTGGTTTTGACAAGCCTCTGTCTGCTGCCTAATGCTTTACAACTTGTCAATGAGACCTCTTTGTCTACTTGCTCTGAGCCGGTAATCTTACTACTTCCATGTTGTGTCCTGTACTTGTACTTCTAGCATTTGTATGGAAAAAAAGTTAAATCTTAGTGGGTTTTGATATTCTTTCTTGCTGTATAATGCTCAATGTGTATCTTAGCTTGCCTCTTCAAATGCTCTATACAAAAATCTGTGATGTATTATTTCATTTAAGTTCCTGCATTTCATTATATTTATAGAAGTTGCAGATTTTTGTACTGTATTAGTTAATACAGTTGCCTTTTTGTAATGGCAATTAATTTATATTACAAAATTTTGTATCTTTACTGTAGTCAGAAGTATTAGTTAACTGCCGTATTATCTTGACTTTATACTAAAAATACAGTGTCTATACACAGAAGCTGACCCAGTCAAGTGGACAACTGCTGACATGAGGAACTTCTACTGTTTGTGATTTATACATGATTTCCACTATCAAAAAAAAAAAAAAAAAAAAAAAAAAAAAAACAACTGTGTAGAGTTGAGTTGCTAAGTTTGGATTTCTTGAGCAGTAGCCAGTTTGGGAGTGTGGTGTATTACCTTGATTTGGAATCTTCAAGATAAATTATTTACTCCTAGATGAAAACAAATATTACTGTATAATCATTGCTAAATTATACATAGTTACACATTTACACACACACACACATATATAAAACAAAACTTCCAAAAATTGGCCGATTTATTTCCACAGCAAGATGTTGTTACTCTGGAAATATATCAAACATATTGTGGGATTATTGGTGGAACAGAGATTGGAATAATCATCATACAGTTATTCCATAATGTTAAACTGAGGGACATGTTTATATGACTAGAAGTTATTTTTAAATCAGTGACATGACAAAGACATATACCCAAAAAAAGCTATAGAAGTTGAGCAAAGGAAAATACTGTGGGAAAAATAAAAGCTTGCTGAGACAACTCAATGTTATATGATCAAACACTGTTTGAGTAGAAGAGACTCTCACAATGCAAGTTGTAACAGCTGATGGAAGTACAGCGCTGCTGAGCCAGGCTGGAGTTGCTGGTTCAGCTACTGAGGTATGCTTTTTTAATTTTATTATTTTTAAATCTGCCTCTTACCAAAACTAGGATGGAAATGAAGGATTTGTAAACTCAGAATAATTTTTTAATTCTTTTGTTTCATATAAATAGGAACTGAAAATCTGCTAATCATGGCTCATTTGATAGCTCCTGAAAGAATTTTCATTAGCTCATTAGCCCTTTGACCTAATAGTTCAAACAAATAAAAACATCTGTTTGTGTCAGCTGTAGGGTTAGCCATCCAGGGCCTAGGTTAACATGAGGATGAGGGAGAGTCCCCCATATCCTACATGAAAACAAAAACCATACCATTTTCAGTATCTGCAGTTGAAAAGAACCCCTGAAATCAAGTAGAGCTGCTGAATTCTGTTACGTGAAGAGACTGAAAAAGATCATTACCCTTCTCAATCCTCAGCCCTCATGGGTGAACTGACTAACTTCGTTGTGTGGGTTGGACTGAAGATCAGGGCTAATTTAACTAGTTCTGAGACATTTATGCCCAATGCTAGCTGCTTATAATGTATTTTAGCTTTTATCACAGCTATATTTAGAGAAGCCAAAGTATGCTGTATATTGCTTGTTCATTCACCAGATTTCATGGGAAAATGTACTATGTGGTATTCTGGTGGGTTTTGGTAGAATATATTCAGGGCAGCCTTGTTTGTGGAGTGTATGTTTGTGCATCAAGCATGTTCAGCAGTTCTATTTATGGTGTCTTATATATGCCTTAATT